TGAGGCGGGGTTTGGTCACAGACACAGAGCAGCACTGTGTTTGTGGATATTTTATGTCTAAAGTGATGTGACGCCCAGGCAGTGCTGGAGTGTTCTCCCGTACTCTGCTCACCGCCTTCTATCCTCCTAGCTCAGAATTATTCAAGGTAACAGGGATCCTAAATGAATCCAGTGCAACTGGCTCTTATTCCTGCCCCCACAAACGGGCTGTGGGCAGGGAGGTGCCTGCAGGGGAGTGAAATCGATTATTAACTCAGTAGTCTTGTCCTCGGGGGTGTCGATGCCAAGTGAAAGACAATCACCCTTTCCCCGGGGCTCTTGAGTAAGCAGCTGCTACTCTATTCAAGTGACACGAGGGAAAGAGTCTCTTATGAATTTGAAGGATGGAAGGCAGATGCCGCTTATGAATCCAATGGCTTGTTTTGTTCAACATTCCCAGAGTCAGAATCAAATATTACTCTTGGGATTCAGAAAACCTGGGAGCTGAAAACTCAAAGTAGCAAGATCCTAACATGACTTTCAGGTTAAATCTGTCAAGTTTTTAAAGAGCTATGTCTTGGAACTTCTGAAGACTTCTTACGTGGCCTAAATAATGAGCAGTTGGTCTATATATCCACGGGTTAGTCTGCTCAACTCAGTACCCCTGTGTTTATGGGCAAATCTTCAAATTGGGAGATGATGTGAGGTGGCTGGTCGGGGAGGGTAGTGCTTGCACCCAGGTCAGGACAACAGAAGCACTGTCTGTGTTCCTTGTTTCCTGAGCAAGTTTATGGGTGGCCTGGGGCTATCACCTGCACATCACATGCCTTGGTCTCCCCTGCTGTTGGATGGCGTGTGCCTTAGAACACTAGGGCATAAAACGGCTTGAGAAGGACCGTGAATTTGGTTTATCATCTCAATGGTCACCTTATTAGTTTATGGGTGACCATTGAGATGATAAAAAATGATTCGTTGCACTTGAGATGCTGGTTACTTTAGGCAAAGTTAATGAGAGAATATTTTTAAAATATTGCTGGGTATGATATAAAATAGTAAACGTCCTACTGGGCCATAGCCGAAACCTTTGAGATTCTCTCTTCTTCCACCAGATAGAAATGATTTACATCTCAAATGGATAAACATCCATATACTAATCACTGTTCTTACAGAATTGTAAAATAGCTCAGTCAATAGAAAATCCATCACAGATACAAGCATTCAATGAAAGAATCTTTCTGCACTAGTTCCAAGTTTGAGATAATTTTTCCGACCATGGTAACTGGGTGCACAGGGTAGTGAGGTAGAGAAGAGGACAAGGGAAGACACCAACTAGCTGAATATGTGCTAGATAATGTGCTGAGTGTGCATGTGTGTGCATAGTTGTGTGTGTGTGTGTGTGTGTGTGTGTGAATGCATGCATTTGTGGGAGGTGAACTCACTCTTGCACTCAAGTGACACTCCCCAGGGCTCTGGGGACATGCTACTGAATTCCACTGACAGGCAAGTGTGCTGCCCACAGAAATGGGGACCAGATGAAGGCCTGGCTCTGGCAGGTGGAGGGCAGGAAGGGCTCAGATGTGGCACCAGTCACCTGGGCCCAACTCCGTGGGAACTGCTGACCTGGCCCCTATTTGCCAACAGGTTGTCAGATGCCCGCAGCTAGAAGACATCACATGAGCTGTAGTCCACATAGGCACTTTGAAAATTATAGTGTGACAAGAATCTGAGGCTGTTATCATTATTACAGAGGCAAATATGCAGATGGAAGGTGCCCTTCCATTACATCAAAAACTTTGGATACAGACACTCGGAGCACAGGGTGGAGACCAGAAAGCAGATGTTCTGACACTCCCGCTAATTCCTTGCTCCCAGTCCTCATCAGCAGAGTATGGCCTGGGCCTGGCCAGAAGCTGTCTGATCTGGCTATTATCTACCTTTTTTTTTTACCCACAGACCCACCCTTCCTCCCCACCAGCTATCTTCATACCTAATTGTCATGATGTCACGTACTTTCTGTTGTGAGTTTTGAACTGCTCAGTCCAAGACGGAAAAGACATATATGTAAGCACAGGGCCTCCCTTCAAAATGAAGAGGGTTCCAATAAGCATGTGCATGATTGCTTACTGTGCACGGGAGTTCCTTGTCGAGCTCCCGGAACACGTACACCCACTCATCCTGCTTGGCCACATTCCAGTTGGGATAGTCCACGAAGGTGGCGTGGGCCATGATCTCCTCCCTCTCATTACAGAGAGTGATGGCAAGGTTGGCCTTCTCCCTGTGGAAACGATTAAAATTGCACACACATGTAAGATTACGAAAAATGAGATGAGGATGTCATTTTCTCAAACCCGTTTGGCTACTGGAGCTCAGCAACCACTGCATAAGGTATGATAACCATTGAAAGAGGTGGAAGCAATGTGACAGCCAGCTTTGGGAATAGATCTTTCAGGACATCTGGCACTACCGACTACATTTTTACTGAAAATTATATTTCATTAGAAAGCCATTACATTTATGAACTGAATTGTCCAATACCCTTCCCTTGGAGATTGGCTGGGAAAATTGGTTGACTGTAAAGTTTCTCCTGTCCATTCCATGTGGCCAACACCCGTGTTAGCCTAAACACGTGCAGTTAGTGTGGCCAGCTGTCCCAGTTTAACCAGGACTGATGTGTCCAAAACACGGGACTGTTACTGCTTCAACCAGAAAAGTCTTGGCAAACTGGGATGAGTTGGTTGCCTGTGTGCAGCAGCCTTCTGAACAATTTCTCCAAACCCTGAGCTAACTGCTTCTTATGGGATCCGAGCATTAGCAATATACCTGATCTACCTGCAGAAATGGAACCCCACAAGTTAGCAAAGACAAGGGAGGAGAAGCAGGTCTTCTGATTCCTCTGGTGGCTGCCCCAAAGGGACGTTTTGATGGTCCCTCCCCACAGCTACCCTGGCCTGTGGCCCGTCACGGCAGCAAGAGCTATGACTTACAGAAAGGTTACACTTTACTTCATGGAGAACCATTTGTATATAAATTGAAATGCAATTTTCACTTTCTTAGCTAAGTGAAATCGACTGGTATCTTAAGTTGGAGGGGGACATTTTTTTTCATGTTCCTTCAAAAAACAAAGAAGGCAGAAGCTATCCATTCCTTATTAAGGGGAATCAATGAGAAGACAGCATATAGCTGAAGGAGGAGAAGAGACAACGGGGATAATAGAGAGAAAATTATATATACTCTCCAGTTACACATTTATCACCCAAACATTGTATTGTCAGTTCAGTAAAAAATTAGAAAGTACTCACAGGCAAAAAGAGAAAAAATAATTTGAAAGCTCATCCTTGATACCACCCCCCATAGATAATCAACATTTGTGAATATTTTGGTGTCAATTTCTCCATATATGCCTCGTTTTCAGGGCAGCCATACATTGAAATGTACTTTGTGTGTTTTTTAAAATGAAATACCACAACCCATACTGTTTGCTTTTCCCCCTCCTGACAGCATATTATTTTCCCAGAGCTGCTCACCAAAGAGCAGTCTCACACACACGTACTTCTTGTTCCAATTTTGTGTCTTTAAACCTGTTCATTTTGGCTTAAATACATATATTTTCAATAGAAAATTTACATCACTATCATAAATGGAAAACCAGATCCCTTACTAGAAAGAAAGAATAACTATAAAAATAAAGACATAACATTTAAAACAAAAATGTCTTGTGCATGTATCAAGTCAAATCACCTTGGGTACCACCAGAGGTAGGGGTATTTTTGGGAAACATTGTACTAGGGATGCTGATCTCAGCTCCTACAGCCACCATCCCCTCTCATAGGAAGTCACATCCCACAGCCACAGGGGACTCCACTAAGGGTGCACCCAGCCCAAGGGCCCCACCAAAGCACTGGCTATCATGGAGAAGAGGTAGCAGGCTACTCTCAAGTCCCAAGATTACAGAATTCACACAAAGGACTTCTCAGCAGAAGAATGCACCCCCCAACCTCTCCAGATGACTCATTGAAGCCCTGCAGAGGCTCCCTCCAGCTCCTGGTCTTCTGGGCTCCCCTGCCCCAGGCTCCCAGAGCTTCATGCTGAGAGTTCTCACTCTAATTCGGGTGAGAAAATGCCCAGGGCATAGGACCCCTGGCATGTCAGCCATGATGGTGGTGGTGGTGAAGGAGGAGGAAGTGGGCAAGAGCTGAGACAGGGCAACCACCATCACTTCAGGGAAGCAAGGGAAATGTGTTCCTGGAATCCCAATTTGAACTTAAAATGCGTTTATCCATGGGCCCCAGGATGGTGGTTGGGTTCAATAATACAATTAGCACAGTACTATACGACACAGACATTATTGATTAAATAGGATTTTGTAGGTTGGCCTGGGAGGCCAGCCATGAATAACTTGGTTACATTGGGAAAATGTACTGCAATTTCCAAATGGCTGACTGCAAAACGTAACTTCTGCAGCATTATCCTTTGTATGTATAATTTCCACTTCTTGCTCTATGAGCAGAATTCTGATTTCTATTGGTGAATAATATCTTTGAACTTTAACATATTTTGTGTAAAATATGTGTGTGTGTGTGTGTGTGTGTGTGTGTGTGTGTTTAAAAGGCCTCCTTTGGTTATGATTTGGCTTATTATAAAGAATAATTTTAAACCAGCTTTAAAAACACATCTTCTCCCTCTACTTTTTTTCCTCCTCTCCCTTCTTTGCTCCCACAATGATTTTTACCTGTCCTACAGGTGATATCATAACTGATTTTTTGTTTACTCGAACTCCCATTTATTAAGAAAGGTATTTTAAAATATCCAATTATGAAAGTGGGTATGTCTATTTCATCTTTTGGTTCTATTACTTTCTGCTTTATTTTAGGATGGTGTCATTAGTAGCATACAAGTTTAAAGCTGTCACACCTCTCTAAAGAACTAAACCATCTTTAGCGGTATGATGCTTTTTGCCCTAAAGTTTATGTTGTCTACTACTTATATAACAACACTAGCCTTTTTAAAGTGAGATTTTGGCTGGCAGTCTTTTTCCCCCAGTACTTTGACTTTAAACACTTCTGTGCCCTTGTATCTTAGGTGTTTCTCAAACACAAAAATATGACTGAATTTTATTTTGTTCTATTTCAGCCAATCTGCCCAACTTTATCTTTTAACTAAAGACTTTCCCCCAAATACATTTATTGAGATTAGTGATATAGTTGAATTTTTTTTCTATCTTCCTATTATGTGATTAACATGTCCCACATTTTATTTCATTTTTCTTCTTCCCATCTTGCCTTCTTTATTCAGAGTTTGTTTAAAAGTTCTTATTCCATTTCCCTCTATAGGTCAGAAGTTATCATCTCACTGCCTAGCCTTTTAATGATTATCCTATACCAGTGATGGCGAACCTTTTGAGCTCGGCGTGTCAGCATTTTGAAAAACCCTAACTTAACTCTGGTGCCGTGTCACATATAGAAATTTTTTGATATTTGCAACCATAGTAAAACAAAGACTTATATTTTTGATATTTATTTTATATATTTAAATGCCATTTAACAAAGAACAAGCAACCAAAAAAATGAGTTCACGTGTCACCTCTGACACGCGTGTCATGGGTTCGCCATCACTGTCCTATACATAACATACATTCCTAACGAAATCTTTACCCTTTGTTTCAGTTACCAATTAACATGTAAAAACCACCCCAAGCTTAGTGGCTTAACACAATTTATTATTATCTCTCATGATTCTGTGTTGAGTGTTTAACTGAGCAGTTTTTGCTTGGGGTCTCTGAAGGGGCTAGCAGTCACACTGTGGCTGTGGCTGGAGTCACCTCACTGTATTCAGTATCTAAAATGCTTTAGTCACATGGCTAGTAGTTGATGCTGGTTTCTGGCTGGGAGCTCAGAGGCAGCTGTCACATGAAGCACCTGCATGTGGCCATGTGACCGGAGTGTTTAACAATATGGCATTTGGGTTCTGAGAAAGAGCATTCCCAGTGGCCAACTGGAAGTTGTAAGACTGCTTATGACCTAGACTTGAAGTTACAGAGAAATCACTTCTGTAGGTTTCTATTGGTTACACAGGGCTGGCCCTGATTCAGTGTGAAAAGGGCCTACACAAGGGCATATACGCAGGATATGTGGTTCACGGGAGAGAGGGAAGGCACCTTTGTGTATTAGCTACCACTCCCTCCCCCTGAATAATACCTTAAGAGTACTTTCATTATAAACATGTACCTTCCAGTTTATATACAATTGTCCAGTATTTTAATCTAAGTTATTTATATCTTATAACATATTTAAATTGAATATCTAGATGAGGTTGGTTCTTATTGCTATTGCTTTATATAAATTAAATTAACCCACATATTTGCTCATATTTTTGTTTACTTTTCTTCTTGTATCTTGGGCTTTTCCAGCTGAACTATCCTTCCTCCTGCCTATAATATATTTGAGGCATTTTTGTTTGTCTGAAAATGAATTCATTTCTCCTATGTATTAAAAAATTGTTTCACTGGGCATATATCATTCTAGGTTGATGTTATTTTCCATTATCTTCTGGCTACCATTGTTGCAAGTGAGAAATCATCTATTAGTCTAATCTTCAGCTCTTTGCAGGTAATTTGTCTCTTTTTGTCTGATTATTTTTCAGATCTCTTTAGCATTGGCATTTTGCTGTTTTATTATAATTTGCTTAGCTGTAGATTTCTCTGTGTATTTATCTTGTTTAGGATTCACTGAGTTTTATGGATGGAAGAATTTATGCTTTCAACAATTCTGGAAAGTTCTGTCATTATCTCTTCAAATAGGGACTGTTCCACTACCTTTTATCTCCTTCTAGAAGTTTACTAGTCTTGTCAAATAGCCCACTCACATTTTTTATCTCTTTCTGTTGAATTCTGGATAATTTTTTGATATTAATCTTCCACCTCACTACTTCTGTCTTCAACTGTATCTATTATATTTGACTCATCCACTAAACTTTAACCATTTGTATGCCGTAAGTGTCTATAGACGCAAGCGGCGGACCTTTTTTAATTAAATTCAAAATATCGTGGCAGTTACTCGTTAATTTTGACTATACAGGGGTGGGCAAAAGTAGAGTTATAATTGTTCATGTGGAAAAAGACATGCAGGTTATGATTACTATAATAGCTTTATGAACACAAAAGAATAAACTCTATGTTTCGCATACTCACAACTGTAAACCTACTTTTGTCCACCTCTGTGTTTGCATTTCTAGATGGTCTATTTGACTTTTTTTTCAAACCTCATTATTCATTTATATGATCTTTTAAGACCTATTCAGTTTAGACATAGTAAGCATAGTTATTTTATATTCTTTGTCTGACAATATATCAACCTTTGAGAATCTGATTCTGCTGGATATTTTGTTGTTGTTGGTTCTCAAAAAATGGTGTATGTTTCCTTGTATAATTGTGGTTTTTTTACTGTGAGCTCATGTTCCTTGAGCTCATTATTTCTAGTCTGAGTTGAAGCTCCATCCCTTCACACCTGACCTGTGTTTATTACAGCCAGTCTCCTGGAAACACATTGGTAAACTAACTCAGCTGTTGTGTGTCCGAAAATGCAGTCATTATTTGGGATCTTTTGAAGCTTTTGGGGACCACAGATATAATCAATGTGGACCTCAAATCAATATGTGCTTATGAATCCTTGGGGGAGGCTGAGGTTGAAACAGGACAGTGCTTACTGTCCACTTTTTTTAAAAAATATATTTTATTGATTTTTTACAGAGAGGAAGGGAGAGGGACAGAGAGTTAGAAACATCGATGAGAGAGAAACACCGATCAGCTGCCTCCTGCACACCCCCCACTGGGGATGTGCCCGCAACCAACGTACATGCCCTTGACCAGAACCGAACCTGGGACCCTTGAGTCCGCAGGCCGACGCTCTATCCACTGAGCCAAACCAGTCAGGGCTTACTGTCCACTTTTATCTAGTGGGCTTATATCCCATTCATCCTTACAATGAACAAGCCAGTTTTATACAAAAGAATCTAATACTTCCATCCTGAGGTGGAGGGAGTATTTATTTTTTGTTCTTTGGAAAGCTGTCAAACACAGAATCATGAGGTTTCTAGAATATAGCATAAAATACTCAAGGAGAAAGTGGCATTAAGACCTACTGTTCTTGCCCTAGCCAGTTTGGCTCAGTGGATAGAGCATCAGCCTGCAGACGGAAGGGTCCCGGGTCCAATTCCGGTCAAGGGCACATGCCTGGGTTGCAGGCTCGATCCCCAGTAGGGGACGTGCAGGGGGAAGCCAATCAATGATGATTCTCTATCATTATTTCTATCTCTCTCCCTCCCTCTCCCTTTCTCTCTGAAATCAATAATAATAATTTTTTAAAAAGACCTACTGTTTTTTATTTCACTCTAATGATGTTCTCTGCATAGTTCTTGTGTATGCGTTAGTGCATGAGTGCATGCGTGTGTGTGTGTGTGTGTGTGTGTGTATCAACATACTTTTTCCATCCAGAGAAGATCATTAAGGTATTTAATCCACAATAATACCAAAAAAATGAAATAATTTCATTGGTGCATACATTTTAAAGTCTTTTATACATATTGCCCTACTGTTCTCTAACAAAATTGTACCAGTTTCCATTATACTCAGCAGTGTGCTAATCAGAAACTACAAATTTTAATGTCTTAGGTTGGCCTCAGTTTAAACATTTCAAGTGTATTTAATATGAAGCTTTATGAAATCCACAATACTGAGCTATCTCTTATCTTTTTCAATAAAATTATGAAGAAAGATTACAGGATATTTATATTCTGGTATCCAAAAAAAGCAAAACAGGGGGAAAAAGAACTTTTAAGAAAAAAAATCTATACAGATTTTGAAACTTAGAAGACTATTTTCACAGCAGTGGATAAGAGCATAACCAGGCTTTGTCACCTACAAGTTCTAACTGCTTGACCTTGGCAGGCCTCAATTTTCTCATCTTTAAAATGGACATGATAGTGGCTAGCTCAGAGAGGTGTCAGTGTATTAAATAAGATCATTTTGGCAAAGCACAGAGCCTGATAGAAAATAAATTCTCAAAACTGGTAGCTAATATTACTGACTTGCCCCAGGTGAATCTACCAGTGGGTGGGGCAGTTGAGATTTGAACCCAAGTTTGTCTGAATCCAAAACCCATGAGAAATCCTTCTGACCTGCATGTTGTTGCAGGTCTTAGAGACTGGCTGTTCCCAAAGATCTCCTGCTCAGTAGGGTAGATTTTCTTGCTGCCCATTTCCTCACCAAAGGCCCCATAAAGACAGAGGAGTGGGGACTGGGGTCCCCTTCCTGTTGTGTGATAAAACTGATAAACATAGTTAAGCTTCCTTGGCTACGTACTTACAGAAGGTAGATGAGATTAAGCCTCCCAAACAGATTCTGAGTAAATTTTCTAATGAGGTTTTTGATACAAAAAATATCCTGGGACTCTGTTCTTCGGCAGTGAACGACTTCTACCTTTCCTCTTGGAGAAGTGAGTATTGACATTTTTTATCCTGTCCCCAAAAGAGAGAAAACAGCCCACTGTTAATCTGAGATGATAAGCCAGTCCAGTTATAGTACTAACAAAATTGGACGTTAATTCAATTTCCGTATGGTCAGAGTGAACATGGTATTAGAGTGCTGGTGGGACATATTTCCCCCTGGGGGTAGGCTGCAACGATTGACTGTCACCACAAACCAGTTGACATGTTTCTCTCCAGGACAATGATGTTTCTGAGAATTGGCCTGTCTAGAAATTTCTGCAACCGTGTTCTTTGTTTCCAATGAAGTTGCTTTAGAGGATTCTAACTGTAGGCTTGAAAAACAGTGAAAGGAATTATTTACTGATTCAGGGTCCTCTTATATTTAATTAGTCACCACTGCAGGTGGCCAAGAGTTACACCCCTGTATGGACAGCTGCTGCCCTTGTTCCAAATGAGTTCCCCAAACTGAAGTCCTGAAGGGCAGCGATCCTGAGAGAGATTTTGAGACAAAACATCTCATGGTCAAATAAGTATAGGAAATGCTGCTTGTGATAGCATTCCTGACAGGCCAACATGCTCATTAAAGAGTTTGAGAAGTTCCATAAGAAAGTACCTGCTTTGTTTGTATAACCAAGTCTTTCTGAGGAGAATCGCTAATGACAACAGTGGAGAGTCTAATGTTTCAGAAAGACATATAATAGAGTGTACAGCACCAAGAGTGACCCTAAAGTAGACTATGGACTTTGTGAGATAATATGTCAATGTAGGTTTATCAAGTGTAACTAATGTACCACTTTGGTGGGGGATGTTGATAGTGGGGAGGCTGGGGGAGAGGTGGAGGAATAGGCATTCTCTGCCTCTTTCTCTCAAATTTGCTGTGAACCTAAAACTGCTCCAAGAAATAAAGTCTTTTTAAAAATTCTCTTAACCATTTGCTTGCTTATAAGTATTTTTTTCTGTTTTTAAAGGCATGTCAAGAATTATACCAGGCAACATTTACTGAGCACTACATAGATTTTTCTCTTTAATCCTACTGAACTAGATATTATCCTCGTCTTATAAAGACATGGAGGCCAAGATAATGCATGTAATTAAGGCAGACTAAGAGAATTTAAACATCTGCCTCCCTGAGAACAAGGCTGGCTGGTTTGCTAGTCTACTCATTTATTTTTGTTTTGTATTATCTGGCTTTAAAATACTTTCAGTTATTTTTAATAAACTTTTAGTAACCTTGGAGTTAGTTATTTGGGCACTACTGTCCAGAAACGAAAGTAGTGGTTCTCAGAAACTACAAAATCTAGAATGCAACGCAGCTCCGGGCTGCCCAGGAACGCAGCGGCTCGCCCCTTGGCATGCTGGGAGTAGTAGTTTTTCGGCCTGCCTCTCTTCCCCCCAACCTCGAGCATCCAGATTGGCGTTGGTTCCTACTCCCCTTGCTGGGCGCCAAAGCTAGACAGGTCCAGCGGTTCTCGCGCTGTCACCCAGTCCCGGACACTGACCTGGATGTGTCCTTGACGCCCTGGACCCAGTCCTCGCGTCCCTGCTGGGAAGGCCAGCTCTATCCACCTCAACCGCAGCTCCCGGACGCCGCGCTCCACAAGGCTCTAAGGAGGACGCGCAGCCAGGTTACCACAGAAACGGCGCTCCCTGGGTCACGGCGCGTGCTGGAGGTTAAAGGTCAAGCGCAGTTCCGCTTCCGCTTCCGGGATCCCGCTTGTTATTAGAAAGTTTGCGGCGTCGGCGAGCCTTCGGGCCGATATTTGGGACTCAGGGTTCACCGAACGAATTCTGCTGCAGCCATGGCGGCCTCCACCGCGGCCGGGAAGCAGAGAATTCCCAAAGTGGCCAAGGTAGGCGATAGCGGGGGGGCTTTGTGGGGAGGGCCCGGGGAGAGGGGCTCGCCACGGGCTCCGTGGTACCTACGACGAGAGAGTGTTGTCCGAGTTTGCAGGCCCACCCCGTGCGGGGCCTCGGGTGATAAAGAGGGAAAGAGATGGGCGGTAGTGGGGTGCAAGCTCTTGTCCCCCGAAGCACAGCCCGCACGTCGGGTGGAGGAGCGGAGAAGGTTCGTTCAGCAGAGGGAACAGCGGGGCACGGCGCTAGGCACTGCGGAGCTGCACTAATGCTGGCGAGGAGCGGTGCTCTGATGAGACGCACGTGTGAAGTTGCCGCCGTGCCGAATGCTACAGAGGCAAAGCAGAATGTGCCAAGGAATAACGGAGGTTTGTAGGAGGAGGTCTCCAGAGTCAACGGGGCTGAGACGTGACGGATAAGCCGAGACTTGAAGGCTGGAAAGGAGTTAGCCCCGCTGAGAGTGGACAGAATGAGAGGAGGTGACAACAGTTGTGTAATGGTGTAATTTAAGTTAATAAATTTGATATCTAGTATTTCCTTCGGTGGCTGATACTCGTCAGTGACTTATGATGTAACAGGCTTTGTTCTAAGCCTTTACGGGTACTCTCCCTCTAGTCTGTGCTTCTGCCCAGATGACTCTCTTGAGCCTTCCTTTACATGTCCACGTAGGTGACTTCCAGAGAGAACGTATATAAAGCATGTAGCACGGTACCTAGTATTTAATGCTCATTAGGTATGAGCTATCATCATCATCATCATTGTACAGCACTAAATAATTAGGGTTTCTTATCATTCCATTCCATAAACTTTTACTGGGCCAGTAGAAGTAACACGAGCCCCATATGTAATTTAAGTTTTCTCATAGTGACGTTAAACAGTCAAAGCGGGTGACATTAATTTTAATTATATATTTTATTCAACAACTTAGTGTGTCCGTGATACTGTCATTTCAACATGTAACCAGTATAAAAATTTAATTAGGTAGCTTGTTCTTTATTCATGCCAAGTCTTCAAAATCCACTGTGCATTTTACACGTATAGCCCATCTCTGTTGGGACTTGCCTCATGTGGCTCATGGCTATCGTGTTGGACTGCACAGCTCTAAGACCTGAAGAAGCTTATATTCTAATGATGGCAACTCACCAAATATTGTCTTGGACTTGAAATGCCATGAGAAATCAAATGCAGTTACCCACCTGGGGCGTTATCACCCACCTGGGGCCTACATGGAAGAATTATTTGAATAGAGATTGTAATGCTAGATAAGCTATGGTCTGTATCTTGATCAACAAAACCTCTGGTGAGAGTTTTACCTGGGCATCCTCAGAGTTTTTTATTTTACTAATCTAAAAGGAAAATTTGCTACTTTTGCTACCTTTTCTCTTGAGACTTTTATCTATGGCTTGTTAATAGCTATCATACATAAGCTAGAATACATTTTTTTTTTCTGTTTAGTTGCCCAGAGACATGGGAAGATGTCATACAAAGAGGGCATCTTGTGATATATAAAGTTCACATCCTAAAAAATGTTTGTTTGTTAAACCTTGTGTGCAGAGCATCTACTAAAAATAGAAATGTCTTGTCTTAAAAGGTGAAAAACAAAGCCCCAGCTGAGGTACAGATCACTACGGAACAGCTTTTAAGAGAAGCTAAAGAAAGAGAACTTGAGCTTCTTCCACCTCCACCTCAACAGAGGATCACAGATGAAGAAGAGTTAAATGATTACAAACTAAGGAAAAGGAAGGTCAGTCAATGCGATGTCTTTCAGATTGTCGGTATTGTTAAGGATTTATAGGTCAGAGTTTGAAACATTCCTCATTATTTATCTATATCCTAGAGGCCTGGTGCACAAAATTTGTGCACGGGTAGGGTCCCTAGGCCTGGCCAGCGATCAGGGCCAATCAGGACCTTCCAGCTGCCAGCTGGGGCCTTCCTTCCCTGGCTGTTGGCTGGGGTCTTCCTTCATTCTGCACCACCCCTGGTGGTCTCGCATGTCATAGCAAGAAATCGAACTCCCAGTCTCCAGTTGAACTCCCGAGGAGCATATTAGCCTTTTATATAGATAGATATAAAAGGCTAAGTGACTGACCGGGCTGGTAGGTATGATGTGCACTGACCACCAGGGAGCAGAAGCTCAATACAGGGGCTGCTGAGCGACAGCAACTTTGCAGAGTGACCTTTCGCACCCCAGGACCCCTCGGGGGATGTCGGAGAGCCGGTTTGGGCCCAATTCCTGCAGGCCAGGCTGAGGGACCCCACCTGCTGGAGGGACCCTGCTCACTCCGCAGATGCCCTTCGAGCCCCGGCGCCGTCCCAGTTGCAGCCAGCTGGGGAGGGGCCACGGGAGGTTGGCTCCGGGCCATGTCTGGCCTGTCTCACCCAGTCCTGCCCCACCGGCCACCTTCTAATTAATTTCCTTTCAGTGTGCATGAATCTGTGCACCAGGCTTCTAGTAAGACTATAAAATGAGAAGAGGTTAGTGTTTCTAGCCACATAAATAATACAACTTTTGGTTACCAGATAACTGCATTTGTTGAACTTTATGAAGTATGCCATGAGTTATCTGTTTTAGAGTATAAAGAAATTAAGTCCACAAGAGACATAATTTTTGGTGCTCAATTGAAGATTGGTAGGAGTTTGACAAGTGGAACTGACAGCTAGAAGAGAGGTGGACTTAGCAAGGCTGTGTTATGTGCTTCTTCTGGCCGTACCACCCCGTGTTGAGTTAAGATGTGGGAAAGAGCCATAAGAAGACTAGAGATCTGGTCTGACCTTCTTACTCTAGAATGTGGGATTATTTTAAACCACTAATTTTGTTGTTCCTACTTATTAGTTATCCTCATTGAGTTATGTATGAAATTCTGTGACATTACCAAAACGACCTAGTCAAAACACATTTTCTTGTTAGAAACAAGTATATTACAGTATCAGTTGTTATGGGCAATAAAAGAAAATAATCAGCAATTGTGCAATAATTCTTTATATCTAAAATTTTCCTTTTGCTTGCATATAAGACACCTGTGATTGTAACCTTCTGTAGTGGGTTTCTTATTTCTCAGAGTTTCCAGGATGCAATTTCTCTTACATAAGAATAAAATGAGTAAGTATCCTTTTTAGTATAGGATTAATAGAAAAAAGGATAATGTTATTTTTAGTTATTTTCTCTTTAATTTGATCCATTTGGTCTTCCTAGACTTTTGAAGATAACATAAGAAAAAACAGGACTGTGATTAGTAACTGGATAAAATACGCACAATGGGAAGAGAGTCTAAAGGAGATTCAAAGGTAAAATTGTTGAGCATGTAATTTTTTTTCCAGTTTTATTTATTTTTTCTTTATTAATTAAGGTATTACATATGTGTCCTTATTCCCCCCTTGCTCATGCCCTCACCCCCCTAGTGTCTGAGTCCATTGGTTACGCTTATATGCATACATACAAGTCCTTTGGTTGATCTTTCCCCCTCACCCCCACCCTCCCCTACCTTCCCTCAGATTTGATGGTCTGATCAGTGCTGTAATTTTATATATAAAGATGTTATAAGTTAACAGATACAAAAAAAATAGAAAAAGTTAAAGTACAAGTAGAAGATTGTGTCTTTGTTAGTAATTTTCAGTTTCTTTCATAGAACCCTGGGATTCCTTTGAGGGCTTCAGGGGCCCTGTGGTAGGCTAGTGCTGGGGGAGCAAAGCAGGAGGCTGTACAGGTGGGTCTCTCCACCAGCACACACCCTGTAGCCAGAGAAGTGTAGTTTCATCTGCTTTCTCTATATTGGGATTTTTTTTTTAATCTTTATTGTTGAGATTATTACAGATGTGCCTCTTTTTTTTCACCTATAGCCCCCCTCCACCCAGTTCCCACCCCACACCAGGACTTCCACCCTATTGTCTGTGTCCATAGGTAATGCATATAGGCATATAAGAGCTTTGTTTAATCTCTTACTGCCCCCTGCCGATCTCCACTTCCCTCAGAGAATTGTCAATCTGTTCCATTTCCATGCCTCTGATTCTGTTTTATTCTCATTTATCCTGCTCATTAGATTTCTTATTCATTTAATTTTTGATTCAATTGTTGATAAATATGTATTTGTTGCCATTTTGTTATTTATATTTTTTATCTTTCCCTTTTTCTTCTTCCTTTTCTTAAAGAATACCCTTCAACATTTCATATAATACTGGTTTGGTGGTGATGAACTCCTTTAGCTTTTTCTTGTCTGTGAACCTCTTTATCAGACCTTCAATTCTAAATGATAGCTTTGCTGGGTAGAGTAATCTTGGTTGTCGGTCCTTGCTGTTCATCACTTTGAATACTCTTTTCTGGCCTGCATAGTTTCTGTTGAGAAATCAGCTGACAGTTGTATGGGCATTCCCTTGTAGGTAACTAACTGCTTTTTTCTTGCTGCTTTTAAGATTCTCTCTTTGTCTTTAGCCCTTGGCATTTTAATTATGATGTGTCTTGGTGTGGTCCTCTTTGTGTTCCTGTTGTTTGGGACTCTTTGTGCTTCCTGGACTTGTAAGTCTGTTTCTTTCACCAGGTAGGGGAAATTTTCTGTCATTATTTCTTCAAATATATAGTGGGATTTTTTAAAATAAAAATTGTTTCACTGAAAACCAGTGGCCAATAAGATTAAAATCATGACCTGTTGTTCAGTCTTTCTGCACTCTCCCAGCATACTCCCTGCCCCATCGTGCCTGCATAGTTGCCATTACCTGAACATATCATGTCTTTTTTTTTTTTTTAATCCTCACCCAAGGATATTTTTCCACTGATTTGTCTTTTTTAGAGAGCGTAGA